CAAATTAGTTTAATTTCTGTGTATAAGCTATTTATTTTGAGTTGGATTTTTTATTTTATTTTGTTAATTGTGAAATCTTCTTCTATTGTTGATTTAGTCATCTTTAGTGTCTTTTGTTGTGATTTGATATTTTGATTTAAAGTGTATTGTTTAAGAATTGTGTAGGTTGTGATCTGGGACGATTTGTATTAATTTATGTGTGTTTGAGTTTTTTTTTCTGTCTCTTTAGGAGCTGCTGGCCTTTATTGAACCGGGTCAATGACTTCATCTTTAGATGGTGGTGGTGTTTTTTCATTGTGTGTTGTGGCCTTTGGTGTGCACTGGGGTCTTTATTTTGGTATGTGAGTGTGTTATGTAGATTAGGAGCCCTTTTTGGAGAGTCTCCCCTGTAATTTAGGCTGCAGCTCCATGACATTTTGAATGACTTATGATTGTGTAAGCTTTTCTGAGAGTTGATGTTTCTATTTTATTGATTTTATGCTACTTTAATAAAAGATTGGTGTTTGATACCTGTGTCTCCACGTTTTGCTTGCCACTGGGTAGGGAACCTGTGCAAAGTTTTCGGAGATTCTTTGGATGAAATTCCCAAGGAGGCGTAGTCAGGCATTCTAAAATCTTATAATTTTCTTTGGGATTCTGTTTAAATTTATTTAGTGAAATCCAGCTGGGCCACATTTATTTATTTATTTATCACCATCTTCTCTAAAAGAAGAGAATGGTGTGTTCTATATGTTCAGTTAACTTAAATGTTGAATACATGTTTAAAACGTATGATAAATGGTCTGCTTTGCTGTAGTAACACACACACACACACACACACACACACACACACACATATATATATATATATATATATAAATTCTTTCAATTAAAAAAATTCACCATTTGAATACTTTTTGACCACTGCGGAACACTGTACGATTACTGTTGCGCTTCACTGTAATTTGCATGCTTTTTTAATATGTATACTTTTATTACTGAAATGCTGGGAAGTATTTACAAAAACAATATTTCATCACTGCTCCACGTCAGCGACTGGCGAAACAGGGGAAAAAACAGGTATTTGGAATGGGCCATTACAGCAATACAATGTTAATATTATATCCTACAATTAGTCTATAAACATTAAAAATATAAACCAAGCAACTTTGTTTACCTCATGTAAATAATGGGCTGCATTAACTAACTTATTTCTGCTAATTTCCATATTTAAAAAAAAATTGCATCATGAAAAGAAATCCATTTCAATAGCGTTCTATCATCCTACATAAATAAGATTTTTTTTCCTATTATTAAATTAAATATGAATTTATTTGTATTCCAAGCATAGCCTATTACACGTGAGCAGTGTGTTCCCTGGTTCATAGGATCACAAAACTCACTCCTCCTCCGTTAATAAATCGCCATCTGAATGCATGAGTTTTATCCAGAGGCGGACAAAGTACTCAACTCCATTACTTGAGTGAAAGTACAGATACCGCTGGTCAAATATTACTCCATTACAAGTAAAAGTTGTAAAGACAGATTTTTACTTAAGTAAAAGTACAGAAGTACTTGCTTTTAAAAGTACTTAAGTACCAAAAGTAAATTTCCTTTTTTATGTCAATGAATTTTTTGTTGTACGTAATACTTGCAATACGTCTGAAGCAACTTACAATACATTACACCTGCTGAATACACTGACTAGCTTGTAGTATCTTTGGAATAAAGAGCTTTTAGAATGTTAAAAAAATTAACACCCATTCCCACCCCCACAAAAGCAGGATGGTAGTGATCTCACACAGCTCTGACAGTGTGTAGCCATTCATCCTCATTTGAACACAGTGGACAGTGAAATCCTGTAAATACAAACTGATAAGGAAGAAAAAAAATCAAACCTGCTTTAAAACCCAGCAACACAACTGTAGCTGTAAAATTTTACAACAGAAACACTGCTTTAACAAAAAAGCAAAACAGCAAGACTTATTTGACATCAAAACAAAAATTGTAAAAATGCTGTCTAATCGCTGTGAAATCACTGGGAATGCTGGGAAATCTCTTCATGTAGCCCTACAAGAGTGATTACTGATAAACTGTCTGGAAAAAAAGAGTCACGTTTTAGAGAAGAATAAAATCACCCACTGACTTTCAAAGCTGCTACTTTCTACTTCGAGGACCTTGATAGAAATGTAGTGGAGTGAAAAGTACAATATTTGTCTTTCAAATGTAGGGAAGTTAAAGTTATAAGTTCCCAGAAAAAATAATACTCAAGTAAAGAACAGATACTCAAAAAGTGTACTTAAGTACAATACTCAAGTAAATGTACTTAGTTACTGTCCGCCTCTGGTTTTATCACTGAGGTGCCATGCAGATTTTTTTTTTCAAATAGAGCTATTAAACACCATGCCTTAACAGAACTATTGGACTGTTATTACAAATTAAAAACACATTAGTGAACAAATTTGTTGTGGAGTGCACTAATGATTGTTCTTTTCTTCATCTGAGTGTGAGTGGTATCGCCTTATGTTTAACTTTCTTTTTGGTTCCTTCAGGATGTAAACCAACAACATTGTCAGAGTGAAGTTCAAAGGCAGCAAGAAATCTATTTTTTCTTTAAAAACATTTGAAATGTAAATGGCTTTGGAGTGTGGTAAGAGATGATAAACTTTAACGTTGTTGATACCATTAATACTTTTCCCTCTGAAAATTATTTTTTAATAGTAATATAATAAGTGTATGATTGTATTTTATGGGCTATATGTATCAGTTCCTCTGGCATTGCTGGCCTTTGACAATTTGTCAATGGATTGTCTTTTTTCAGTTGCCAATAAATTTTATCTTTCTACAATGGATGGCATTTGAATATCTGCTGACATGACCAGACCTAGAAATTTTCATCCCAGGCACAGTGAGTCTTGATGGTAAATTGTTTGACATGCTTATGAAGTTTTGTTTATTCTCAGCAATATTCACCTATTCACTGATTAGCATAGGCTAATATGTCTATTTGACTAATTCTCAATAGCTGTATAGTATGCTATCAAAGTAGTATGAACAGATAATCAGACCATTGATATGGTTTATATTGAAGATTCTTTAAGATCAAGTTCAATAGAAGATACTGAGGGCCCGTCAGAGTCTGATGACACAGCAAACGTTGATTAGAAGTCCTCCTGAAAAAAATCAAGCTGAGGAATGTTGTCTTGCCCATGTAAGAATCACCTATCTTGCTTCTGAATTACATTTGTATAGAATGACTTAAATATTAAAGATATTTGGAACTATATACACTTGTCAATTTCTCATCTCTGCTCAATATTACATCACCCCCCCCCCCACATGAAATGGTGAAAAATCTTGGAAGCACATTTGACAAATGAACATGGGTAGGTTGTT